AGCAAATAATATTTATCAGCAGTTTCGATGAATAATTAACAATTGGTTATATATATATGCTTAACATGATTCAGCTACAATGGTCATTATTTCCCACCGACAAATCGTAAGTCGAGAATGAACAGCTGGAAGAATATTTATAATTTCAGATGACCTGGTTTGTGTCTTCGATGACGATTAAATGAAGCTTCAGATGAAACAAACCGATAGCTGCTCCGTATGAGAAACTGCTGCAAGTTAGACATATTTTGCATGATACTCTTTGTTTTGTTTTGTATTGTATCTTCCCAAACTAAATCTTCTTCGATCGTTACAAAAGATGAAGGAAAAGAATCGAAAAATTAATTGAGATTTTTGAAAAATTAATTGAATTGAGATTTCTGCAAATTTTTGGATTATTGGAATTGACATTTGGCACTTTTTTCTCCATAGCCTAATGAGAAGTGATAGAGAGGTAATAATATGATTAAATACAGGATCAACACCATCTGAACAACAATCCCATCCAATAACAATACGGCAACCAATCACTTATCTGTCCATCTCCATCTTAACAGATCCTCATATTGTGACGAATTGAAAATCACGATCTCATCTAAACGCATAGCCGATAACTCTGATCTTCTATAATTGTTTTCTTTTCTCTTCTTGTTCCTTTCGTATAGTTGTCGATGAGTTTATTTTCTTCCCCTGTTGAGAGAGTGATATTTCCAATGAAATGTTCTTTAGCGATTTAAGAGTTTATAATAATTTAGTAGGATAATTTCATTTAAGTCCTTTAATTCGACTAGTTCTTTTATTTTTGTGTCAATTGTGTCAGTAATTGAGAACATGGTTTCATTTTAATTTCAGGCAAAAACAATGACACTCACGCATTCATCACGACTTGCCATTGGTCTTTCTCGGTAAGACACCCGATTATTTCTCAAAATATTTAAAAATTATGTTTTAAGTAGCAACTTGCTTTCCCACTCATTTTCTCTCTCTTTTTCCGCTTTCATAAAAATGGAAAACGTTTAAATTCTCCCTTGCAATTTATCTCGAAAGAGATCTATGTTGCTAGCAGTTTATCTTTCGCTTACACTATTTATAGCTTATTAGCGTAAAGGGCATAACTGTGTTTTGAATTATTAAAGTTTTCGAGATTATTTTTTGATTCGATAGCTTAGAAATTACCGTTAAATATGCTAATTAAGTTGTGCAAATAGTAGCAACCTAATATGCCAGTCAGGAAACGATTCTTATAAACTGCGATATCGGATATAATACCATATTTACTATTGTTTTATCCCATTAATATGATCAAATTATGACTTCTGTTTTCCTTGCAGGTCCATAAAACGTGGTTTCAGTCAAGCGGGTGATCTCGGAAGCGGTAGTGGAAAGGTCCATACATTTTCGTTTCAACTGTTTAACAACTAACCTAGATTTCATGAATGAGAATTTTATCAAAACAAGAATACGTTGATAAAGTTGTTTAGGATAGACATTTAACTATTAAAAGCCTGCGTACATAACGGAGAAATTTTTTCATGGCCATTTTTTTTTTTTTGATTTTTGATGTTGATCGTATCATATATAGGCAAAGAAAAAAAAGGCTTCATTATCTTTAATATTTATTCTGAAATAGTTTTTCAGTTTTCTTATATTTAGGGTGGTGGTACCGGTGGATCGATACGTGATGCTGGCGGCGCTTTTGGAAAACGGCAGGCTGCGCGCGAGGAGGAATATTTCAAAAATTTGGTAAAGTTGCTCTATTATTTTATTGTTTTTTAAGCCCATACTGTTCACTTTTCCACATTAGCTTCAACTCTGTGCATTGTTTTGAAAACTTTTTAATCATTCTGACTAACGTCAGATCTTATTTTTGGTTGAAGCACATGTAAAACTTTTAATACGTGCAAATATTTCCAGAATGCATCTTACATGTTTGCAACTTTTGATCATATTTCAAGACAAAAATGGTTGAGGGTGAATGTCACATGTTCAAGCTAAGTACTATTCAGTGAGGAAACTTAACTTTTTGCAGGAAAAGGAGCAGTTAAAATCGTTACGAATGCAGTATAAAAATTTGCGCAAGGAAATGGAGCGTGAAATAGAAGAACATGAAAGTCATGCCCGTGAACATAACGAGGCGGCTGAGCGTTTGAGACGTCGGGTAAATGAATTAGAAAAAGAAGAGCAACAATTAAAAAATCAATAAATTAGCCTTTTTCTTCGAAACTCTTTATCTTAAAGATGCTAGAAACAACTAGGCTGTGATTAGACTAGACTAATGTATAAGATATTTCAAAATTCGAAGTGTATACGGTTCGTCAGATCTGCACTTTATATAAATTTTTTAATGTAATATCTTTCTAGAAACAAATTTATTTATAAAGTTTTATTACATTATATATTACATAGACAATGCCTTTTTTATTACATTTGACTGATCAACGATTTTTTAAGCGACAAAAAAGTTAATTTGTAAGAAAAGATATAATGAAAGCGAGAACAAACAGTGATTACTAATTGACTAGAAAAAGTTTAGCAGAACAATCTACATTTGTCATTGCGTATATGTATCAAAAAATCGTCAAAATTGAGTGTCAGGGAAAGAAATATTATGGAATGTAAAGAGAACAACAGGGAACGACGGAGGGAGCTATAAATTTGTAGAGTGAAAGATTACTTAAAGGACGTGAATCCCTCTAAAAAACGTACTGTTGTTCTTACGAGTAACGAAGAAATCACGAGGTCTAATTCTTAAACAAACAATAATACCCGGAACTAAGACTTGCAGAAGTTTTTGGAACCGCAGGATATTGTAAATCCGCAGAAAATGAGTTATACGGCTTATAATACAGCGCTGTTTCCTTCATTGCAATTATTTATTACACTATCTTGATACCAAATGAAGGGGCAATCGAAAGTAAATGATCTACATGCAACTACAGCTAGAGAAAATAAGGAATACAAAAAAGCAGATAGAAAGTAAGATAATAAGAGATTGAAAAAATTCGAAAATCTGAATTCTTTGACTACCTATGAACCTCTAGGTTCCTTTTTGATGATATTTGTCTTAAATCGTTGTCTACTAATGTTCTCATACCCTTAATTGTATCACATCATATATGTATAAGTGAATCAAAACATTCTATTTCAATTAATCCTCATCGAATTTTATTCAATAATTTGAGACGAAAATAAAAGCACATGAGTAACAATGTATAAAAAAGGAAGATGAAGCTGCAGCAGCAAATAAGAACATCAGTCAATAATTGTTATCTCTTTCGAGGATACTTTCAATTATTTACTTTCACCAGGTGCTGCACTATTTTCCAGTGTCTGAAAAAAAAATTTCGAACTTTCCACATATTTTTCGACTATTCTAAATATGACTACTACAAAATGATACTGATTCTTTGCGCCCAAAAAAAATATTTCGATATTATCTATTAGCTTAAGCTCCGTCAATTTCAAAAAAGTGACAAATTTACAAGATTAAAGAGATATTCACAAATATATATTTGATGAATGTTATTGGGATCCAAACTGAGAAATAGAATATTGTTTCGACAAGAAAATTATCCATTCAACGTTTCTGAGTATATATCATTTCAGTTAGTTTCAAAATAATAGCTTGCAGTTTATATGCAAGGGCGCGAATATAACAATTTTCTTCCATAATTTTTTTCGACAAACTGTCAGAGTAGCAGAACGTACCACTGGTTGTCTAATTTTAATTTCACATTACAAATGCTAATGTGAGATTTAGAATCAGCTCTTACTGTCGGATTTTGAAACAAAATTTTCATTTCCTACCAAGCTTCGAAATACCAGTGATGGAACTTACTATCATAGTTGCCATGATCAGTCGATGTATCATGGTTCCGAAGAACGACCAAGCATTCTATTAGTATTACACTATCAATTAGCGACTACGAAATATTACAATGAATAAATTTGAAGATTTTGATTAAAATATCACCTAGAGAATTTATGCTTCGTTATCACTACATTAAGGTTGCATAATACGTTAACATTTACCAAAAAAATGAAGGAGCAAAAAATGGGAAAGGGGGTGTCCGAAGGATTACCTCTCTACCACCAAATGAAGCCATATTTTTTCTACAACTTTGACAAACTGTTGTTCATCGCTATTCTATCGAGTGAATTATAATAGCGTACCCGCAGAAATGGATTGTCGTTAGATGTTGATTGATTGCTCACTGAACCATTATTTGTTTTTGTGTACTGAAACAAGTAAATAAATAAGCGTTCAAAGCTATTAAAGAGGAAAAGAGAATTATTCATTGTATTTGATATGAAACAAACAGTATACAAAATGTAAATGTGAAGAATATGAGCACGTATATAACATGAGGTTCAAAACATGAGGTTATAT